TATAATAGATAGTCAGTTTATCTAGAGCTACTAACAGTTTACCACTGCTATAATAGATAGTCAGTTTATCTAGAGCTACTAACAGTTTACTACTGCTATAATAGATGTCAGTCAGTTTATCTAGACCTTCTAACAGTTTTACCACTGCTATAATAGATAGTCAGTTTATCTAGAGCTACTAACAGTTTGCCCCTGAAGAAGAAAGGTCCACCTTTCGAAAGCACTCGGGTTATAGGGATTTTATTTATTTCTATCAAGACTTCTTGAACCTACGTGTTTTTCTAACATAATGAATGTTCTAAATTATGAACTTTCTTCTGTTTCCGTCGTCATACTTCAAATGATGACTCCACCTTTTTATAGCTCTGATGGATTACATCAGTCCTATAACTCCTGAAGCGTTTTGGTCTTGACATTTCAATACAATTTAGGGTTAATAGTCACTGTTAAAACAAGTTGGTTGAATAGAAATCCCTTTGGCAGTTAAGTTAGACGTCGAAAATGTTCAAACTTTTGTCTGTATTCATAATTTTAAGGAATTCTATAATTTTCACATATACGACTGAATATATTATACAGTACAATAAAACAGTTTTCGTAGTAACCACCTCACCAGATTGTCATAGTTGGTGACATATTTGTTTTGGTTGATTCTATCTTAGAAAATGGTTAATATTTCACTTTATACATTTTCAAAAGACACTCGTTTCTCTGTTACACTTCCTGGACCCATAGAGCTCTTCAAGAAGGATTCAATGGCGTCACCTAGCATCATGGCATCCAACAAGTTTTTATCATCCCAGGGAACAGTTCCTTCTTCATCATTCTCATCACCAGATTCTTTGTCGTTGTTAGAAGGAGGGGTTTCTTTCACGTTGTCGTTTTTACCGTACGTCTTGTCGGTCGACTTTTCTTTGAAAACTTCAACGGAAACTTCTTTATTTTCTTCGCCGCTAGAAGTTCTGCGGTATGAGGCTCTTTGTAATCGCGGACGTGTTCCTCGGTAACTCGCTGGTCGAATCAGTGATCCTTCCCTTCGGAGGTTCAGAGACTTGTCAGTAGAGGGATTCAACGTGTTTGATCGTGTAAAGCGACGAGGAATCTGTTTAGTCACTGGTTTGGATATTTCTTCTTCTTCGTTCTTATTGACGTCAGACATAATGAACATTAAGTCTTCAGTTTTACAGATTATTCCTTTCTTCTGTCTCCAAGTTTCTTGAGAAGGCTTATCTTCAGAGCGATGGTCATTGTTACTTGCACCAGGTTTTATCGACCCCATTTCTGGTCGTCCGTCTGATCCTCTTACTCCTTCCTCGCTACCAGAGTTTTTCTTCCTGAACGAGCTCATTTTATATCTTAAAGACTTTGTCGTCACAGGTTGAGAAAACTTAGATTCATCTCCGCTTGATGTTACTGAAAACCTTTTCAAGCTCCGCAGGAATTCAGCAGAAGAAAGTGTTCGACTGAATAACTTGGATGATTTCCACCCAACTCTTACCGGTTTCAGTTTGGTTTCAGTAGTGCCTTTATCTGGAACAGTTTCATCTGTAGAAAAGCGGACACAAGATCCTCTTCCTGGTTGTAAACGAAGGGAACTTCCACCTCTCTCGAACCTACGTGCTCGACAACTAGAAGACAATGTCTTTTCCACAGTATTCCTCTCATCCTCTTCTTGGACAACCGCCATTGCACGTCTAGGTCCCGGACATCTTCTGCTTTCACTTGTGGAAGATTTACCAATGGAACTTTGTCTTGTTATCGACATGTTGGACGTTACTTGCTTTCCCGCCAAATTCTCCACTGTGCTTCTAGCTTAGTGAATTGGTAAAGCTTATTATAACAGCTGAAGTAGTTGTGTACGGTGCTCAAAATGGTAGAAAAATTTGTTAATATTAATTTATGGTGCAGTAAGTGTATTCTACTTCCTACGAAGGGTTAATTATGGTTTGTAGGAAGTAGAATACACTTACTGCGTAGGAAGTAGAATACATTTACTGCACCATATTAACCCAGTACAAATTATTATTTAGTTAATTTATTATTCGTATCTGGTTGATACACTGTCGAAGAACGACAGTTTATTAAGATTTCTCATGCAAATCTCTTCTTACTCTTTGTATTCACACCAGGAGGACGAACACGTACAACACAGAAACGTATAATATTGTTAACATCTATATAACATTTAATCAAGAACAATTTGCCACATCGAAGAGACTGGATTAAACCAAGTAGCCTATATTATAGTATTCATTTGTATTTAAATAGTTATACTGATTGCCAGGTTGATTTTTGACACGTGGTAAAAAGTTATGGATATGGAATATTACACACCGAACCAAAAACGGATTCCTAAACGTCTATTTGATAAATGAGATGATAGTATTATGGACTCGGGCAGAATTTGATATGAATGACAAAAGTTGGCTTTTTATTATAATAGAAATACTGCGAGACAGATAAAATGTCTAATGTTTGTTACTCAACACCGATGGAATTTAAAAACCAGATGAAGGCAGAATTCAGGATACCAATCCTTTGTAACTCAACTCCTATGGAATTGGAGAACCAGATGGAGGCAGAATTAAGGATACCAATCCTTTGTAACTCAACTCCTATGGAATTGGAGAACCAGATGAAGGCAGAATTCAGGATACCAATCCTTTGTAACTCAACTCCTATGGAATTGGAGAACCAGATGGAGGCAGAATTAAGGATACCAATCCTTTGTAACTCAACTTCTATGGAATTGGGGAACCAGATGAAGGCAGAATTCGGGATACCAATTTATTGTAACTCAACTCCAATGGAATTGGAGAACCAGATGAAGGCAGAATTCGGGATATTAGAGCTATGTTACACAACGCAAATGGATTTCCAGGACCAAATGAAAGGAGAATTCAGACACCGAACTTTTGTTACTCAGCTTCGATAGAACTGTAAAATCAGATGAAGGCAAAATTTAAAACTCAAAAGCGTCGTCCCTCAACTATAATGCACTAAAACAGTTTCCAGTATCATGTTAAGATACTATTCAATTAGATACATATCTGTGAACAAAGACACATTATTTGAGCTTCATATGCATAAAATTTGGTGTTTTGTTGTAATGAATCTTTGAGCTTTAATGGTAAAAAAACAAAAAAAAAAAACAAACACGTGTTTGAAGTCGAGTGCGCCAACGCTAACAACGGTATAAACACATTATCGACGTCACGAACGCACCCAACTTTCTGAACCAAGTCGTTGGCTTGGAGGATAAAAGGGTTTCTTTATGATAATATAATAAGCTACCACGCAAGTTCTCAAGAGATATGTCATATCAGCGCTGTTTCTGTCAACTATCCTTTCATTAACCTTGGTTCTGTTTGCTTAACTTCTATCATCAAACTAAACGTTACGTCTTCTTCTCCCGTGAGACGACCTTTACTCGTCTCTGTCAACAAGATCTTGGCAAACATATTTCAATAGAAAGACTATAATTCAAAAATTATATGTATATATATACACACGCGCGAGAAACAAAGAAGAATCCTTTTGTTAATTGAAACTTACAATGATATCGTTGTTAGAAAGAAAGAAAGATTTAGACATTGATAGAAGTATGTTTTAAGTCTTAAAAAATCAAAATTATGCACATGTATTAAGCAAGTTTAAAAACAACTCGACTGTATTTATTAAAAACTTTAAGCTTATTCTCTAAACCTTATATCTCCTCCGGTGGAACAACATTAAGTTAAGACTTACATTGCTTAAATCCGGTGTTAATCGGCATACGTCGAAGTACTCGTATGTATCTACATATTTATATGTCAAAAATACAAATCACTATCTGCTAACAGACACACTAATAAGTGTTTTATGGAAAAATATCACACTTTACAAGACTCCCTCTTTTTTTTAAATATTTCCATTTTGGTATTCTTAAGAAAAATGAGATTGTTTTATAAAAATTACTTCATTAAATAATTTAAACCATATTAAATGTTCCATAGTTTAGTACATAAAGGTTTATAAACATAAATAAAACACCGAGGTAAAAAAAATAATTAAATTGTCTTTCTTAATAAGGTGCCACTTAGTGGCACAGCGGCATGTCTGCGGACTTGTAACACTAGAATCCGGGTTTCGATACCAGTGGTGGGCAGAGCACAGATAACCCATTGTGTAGCTTTGTGCTAAGCTACAAACAAACATCTTAATGAGGTACACCAGTGGCTCATCGGTAAGTCTTCAGGCTTACGACCATAAAATTTGTTTTTCTGACGTCTATACAACTTCAGTTCGTGCTTTGTTTCTGTTTTTCTAACGTCTAAACAACTTCAATTCGCGTTTTGTTTCTGTTTCATGTTTTTATTTATTTTTTCCTAAAAGTAATTCAGTTTGTACTAACTGTTCCGGCTGACAGAAGAAAAACGAATCGGTCTAGTTTAAGTGAAATAATATCCGTATTTCTGCCTATATATAGCTGTACTTAAAGTTCAGAACACGTATATATTGGGTGGTTAGGGCGCTCGACTCGCAATCTGAAGGTAGCAGGTTCGAATCCCCGTCTCGCCAAACATGTTCGCCCCTTTCAGCCGTGGGGATGTTATAATGTGACGATCAATCCCACTATTCGTTGGTAAAAGAGTAACCCAAGAGTTGGCGGTGGGTGGTGATGACTAGCTGCCTTCCCTCTAGTTTCACACTGCTAAATTAGAGACGGCTAGCGCAGATAGCCATCGTGTAGCTTTGCGCGAAATTAACAACAAACAAACAAACAAACTATCGTTATAGAATGTTTTCATCCACGGTTAGTTTTAATATTATCACAATGTTGACTGAATGGTATCACTGACGGTGGCTTTCGTACTTATAATGTATAAGAAACCATTCTGTCAATGTGGTAGAAATTTTACATATTGTACAGAACGTACAGTTTGTTATCTGCAGAATTTTGTTGAAATTAATTCTTATAATGAAGTTCATAAAATTGTTTGTCAACCGTAGGTAATCGAACCCCAAATTTTAACATTGTAAGTCTATAAACTTGCCGCTGTTCCATCACGGGACAAATGATTTGGTCAGATAGAAGTCTCTTAATCTTTTAATATTTTATTCCGCACTGAGTAGTTTGACGTCATTTCTGCTTAAATTAATGAACATTGGATCAAGAATATAGAACAATTAATTAGATACCGTTGTTACTTCTCAGTGATTCAAAAGAACAAGAATTAAAGTACAACTTGTAAATATTAAATAATTATATTAAATGTTTAATTATTTTCTGTTTATTTGCTTGTTTTAGGGAAACGCCACATTGGGTTATTTGCCGTGTTCACTGCGGGATCGAACCCCGGATTTAAGTGTTGTAAATACGTGGACTTACCGCTGTCCCATTGGTGGACAACATATTTCTGTATTGGGTGTTTCATCCTTACTTGTACCATATAACTGTAACATAGAGCTCGTCATCTCTAACTTATGATCAAATCAAACTAGCCACCTATATCGGAATGAAATATTAACCCATAATTAAAACAACTAATTTACTGTACCATTCTAGCTAGATGGAAACAAATATTTGTAATATTTAGGATTCATTTGTTGGGTAACTTGGCGACATTCTCTAACATAGTCCTAATAATATCTCACGAGTTTCGGTCAGCTTAAGTGCCATAAGTTAGTCATAAATCCGTATACTAAACTAAAATAAATAAGATTGAATATATCATATGTACATCCAAGATTTTAACCGATAATATGTAAAACTGTTAGTAAGATAACCTACTCACATCTACGTCACTTCTTATTCAGGACTTACTTAACAACTTCTAAGTATTGACAAGGGAAATTGACCAATGATTAACAAGGGAAATCGACCAATGATTAACAGGTGAAATCGACCAATGATTAACAGGTGAAATCGACCAATGATTAACAGGTGAAATCGACCAATGATTTACAGGTAAAATCGACCAAGGATTGGCAGGGGAAATCGACCAATGATTAACAAGGGAAATCTGGTACTGGAAATCACAGTGAAGTTGAGATTTGAAGCTGAAGTTATTGGACAAAGCTGAGAGGTGAAGCTGGAGTTCGTGGCGGCATTATTGGACAAAGTTGAGAGGTGAAGCTGTAGTTCGTGGTGGCGTTATTAGACAAGGTTGAGAGGTGAAGTGGTAGTTCGTGGTGGCGTTATTGGACAAGGTTGAGAGGTGAAGCTATAGTTCGTGGTGGCGTTATTGGACAAGGTTGAGAGGTGAAGCTGTAGTTCGTGGTAGCGTTATCGGAAAATGTTGAGCGTTTAAATGGGAGTTCGAAGTGGCGTTATTGGACAAGGTTGAGAGGTGAAGCTGGAGTTCGTGGTGGCGTTATCGGAAAATGTTGAGCGTTTAAATGGGAGTTCGAAGTGGCGTTATTGGACAAGGTTGAGAGGTGAAGCTGGAGTTCGTGGTGGCGTTAT